TTTCACAGTTTTCTCATTTGGTTGTCACTTTTTTCCTCACACCCTCCTGGGCAGCTAGATGGGTATTATCATTATAGCTGTCACGGAGTGGGAAAAAGACACAAAATAGACAAGTCGTTAAAGCCAGGGTTAGCGCCTGTGGTCAGTGACATCTAGGATCAACCTTCTTTACTTTAAACATCCCCTCAATGAGACCTTGAAACTGATTTTGTTAAGTTGATAGTAACACATGCAAGGTGGCCCTGATGCTTGTATATTTTTATATACATAAAGCTGAAATTAAAAAAAAAAAAGAGAGAGAGAGAGAGATCGGTACAAATGCCCTAAACATCCCAACTTCTTAAGTCTCCTTTTGAAAAACATATATCCCTTCTAGCATTTCCACCAGAATCCCTTGCACTTGCCAGATTATATGGTTTATATATGTTCCATTTAACGTGTTTTTCAAAAATCCGATATAAAGTTTTCCTAGTTGGAGGAAATAATCACTTTCCATTAAGTTAAATAGTCCCAATCCATTTTCAGTTAAAATATCTGACAGAGAAATAGAAAAACTCAGCTTTGCGGTCTTGGGTGGGGGTCGCTTCGCTGCAGATGGAACTGCAGATGGTTTCTGGTCATTGCTGCTGAGGAGGAAAGCCCATTATTTCTGATCTGACAAGACCGGCTCGAGAGAGTCATGAATGTGAAACACTCTTAAATGTGTCATTCCAAATCCTTAAACAATTAAACATATTACGATGACAAGAAGAGTACGTCATAAAGCCGTAACTACTCTTCCTAGATTACTAGGTATTTGTGAATTTATTGGCAAGATAACTTAAATTGCAAATGTATTTTTAGCCGGCAAAATTTTATAATAGAAGAGTTGTAGAATTTTTTGCAATTGGGGCGGGGGTGGGGCGGAGAGGGAATGAGAACTTAATAAAGCCAGCATGGACTTCTGTGATTTTGTCCTCCTCGGGACACACACAGAGGGGGCACTGTGGTGACGGCTCCTCCAGTTTGCAGGGAGAATATTCCCATTTCTCGGTTCTATTTAGAATTCACTGGCCTCCTTTTCACTGCAGACCTGCTGTTTAGTCTGCATCTGAAATTTAAACCCAGAGCTTCAGCTTTCGCATTTAATACTGAACTTACCTCCAGCACACACACACACCCTTACCCATGTCCGTATGCCAAGATCTATGATTAAACTCTTAAGATGTGTTAAAATTCCATCAAGTATTAGCGTGTAGGGCTGGATACTGAGCTGTCTTCTTCTTCCTTTTGAATCGGTTAGTGGAAGTATATCCAAAGGTATAGGTCGCATACATTCTATTGAACCAGATTACAAGAAGGGAGATATGTGCAAACCATATTTCTAGGTTGCAGTGGGGTTTTTCCAAGCTTAACCAAAGTAATGAAAGAGTTACATTTATTAAAGTCCTTCATTCACAAAAGAAAACTAAGGCAAAATGAGTGCAATTTTCCAATAGTCATAATAAAAACATAGTTCTCCAGCTCTGCCCACTTTCCTTTCCCTCTCATCGGTTTTCTGCCAAAAAAATTCACACGTTTCGCCCCCGGTATGGTGCAGCCTCAGTTGTCTTTGTAAAATAACTGCATGAATGGCTGGGAGCTGTTCAGTGTTTAGAAGCCTTAGTGGCTGGTGCTCATAAAAATGTCACCATGCACTTCCACTTGGAAAAGTCCTTTTATCCTGCATTCCAGAAGCCCCGTTCCAAGAGCAAGCCTTCTTGACCAGACGGCTGCTGTTTGGCCTTCCCACCTCGCCGACTAGCCCCTAATGAAAAGTGTATGATTCCTGGCTACAGTATTTCCATCTCCTTGTTGCCTCAAAGCTGCTCTTGGAGCGCCACACAAGCTCAAAGCTCTTTTGGCCTTATGTAGCAAGCACAAAGCAATTGAAATAAATATCTCAAGGTGTGAGCTCTTGTCTACAATCGGTGACAGTGTCCTCTAAGTTACTGAAGAGGATTGAATCTAGAGGTCCCTAGCAACCACTCTACTACAGAAATAAGATCCCATGGGGATGTCAGAGCCAACTGCTTATTCCCTACAGCACCGGTTTCTGTCCACTCTTTGTACCATAGAAGAGCTCTCTGTGAGATCTGGCCGGCCCAAGATACTTAGAGCAGCTAAGAGTGGGTTTCTAACTTCATCTTCATTCCTGACAGGGAGGATTTTTCTTCTCTTAATTACCTCAACACTTTTGTCACAGCAGCCATAAATGTAGTAAAAGGCCAAGTCCCTGGAAAGGTGAGAACAGAGGTTTGCAGAGGTGAGAAGTGCCACACATCCCACCAATGTCATCTGTTTGGCAGCCATGCTATCCTTCGGAGGGAGGTCAGTCAGTGCTGTGCAAAGAAGAGAGAGCTCTCCACAACTAGACATTAGAGAAAGAAATCGTCATTCTGTGCATATGAGAGCCACGTTAACTCCAAAAAAGTTTAACAGAGTGAAGCTCCCGCCCTTACCTTGACATGCTAGTTATGTACCTACTACTAACTGATAGCAACTAGTAGAAGAATTTCAAAGTCAATGGAAAAATACTTTAATAAAACAACTATTTGTGTTGTGTTAAGAACTGTTGAGTAAAGGAAACAATATGAGGGACCATCCTTTTCAGCTGAGTTGTATCTAACGGGTTCGAATAAACCACTTACATATCAAATCAAGCAAAGTTTCTGGGAATGTTTTTGAAAAACTGATCACATTCCACATACTACAGGTCTCTGTAAGGTCATGGCCTTGAAAATTTTATTTCCTTCTGGATTTGGAAGTACTTTGGTTTCTAGATAGTATAGAAAAATTGGGCAGTTAGAAGTAGAATAATTACAGCTAGATCTAGAAGGGTTTCCAGCTTCACTGAGTTTTATTCATTTATTAACCATTAGAAGAAGGAATAAACTATACCTGCTAGATTTTATGCTGTGGCCTGTTTCAGAGTAGTAACCAAAGTCCACACCTCATGTCGTAATGAGAAATGAGTCACTTGGGGGCAGACTGAAGAGTGTATCTGCCGAATGGCTTAGTGACTTTCTGGAATGTAAATATTAAGTGAAAAGACGAGGTCATAGGACAGCTGAACCTTGGCTTGTCTCTCTTTCGTCTATCCATGGCTTTGATCATGCTACATCCTCCTTTGTGTCCTGGACTCCATAGAGAACCTCAAGGTCATGGCCTGTTGCCTATCAAGAGGTATAAACCTACTGCTTAAATATGTGAAGTTTGAGGGCTGGGAGTAGAGGGGAGGTAGTTTCATACGTTCCACATTTCCCACATAACCCAAAGCAGACTAAACAAAACCGGTGTGAAATCTCATGACTTGATGCTGCCGTGGTTATATTTTTTAAGCTGTAATCCATTCATTTGTATGTGTGTTTATTCCCAAAATTTACAGCTCTCTCGGTCTTTGAGGAAAGAGAATGTTTGAAACCTTTCGTAAAGAGTTTGCAGTAAGCAGTGGCCTGTGATTAGGGCTCAGGGTAGAGTGCGTGAGTGTGATGGTGTGTGTGTCTGTGTGCGTGTGTGCGCACGCGTGTGTGTGCACGCGAGCGCATTCACATTAGGATGTAAGTGCCTGTTCATGTGGGCTTTTTTTTCCCTCCCATTTGCTGCTTTTACGCAAAAGCGTCACACATGGTAGCATTTAGGAGCTCCTTCACAGCTGAAGTGTTTCAAACACTAATGAATGGAAGTTTGGTCATATAATGCAGACAAGCTTTAAGGCATGCGTTACTGAATGGTGTACTGTAGTGACCTGGGAAAGGAAGAGAGGTATAAATTGTGTCAGTTAGCCACCCAGACAAAATGAAGCCATGTGGAAAATCAAATCTATTAAAGAATGAAGACTGTTATAAGCTGTTTTAAGCTGACCATTCTTAAAGGGGCTCAGTTGGCTGCCGAAGTAAATGTTTACCTCTTTTCCCAGATCTTTTTCACATGCCGTCTTATGAGACAGTGTGCAGCATTTGATAAAAATCATCCTCTCACTAACGACGCTTTTATCAGAAATGTTTATTGTCTCCGCTTTACCACCCATGTCCTGAAAGGT